TCCTTGGAGCGCAGCAGGCGGTGATGCTGGGGGCACCTCCCGCTCTGGGCCCCGTGTCCATGGACCCATAGGGGTACCTGGGCACTGGGGCAAAGGGGTGCCCTGGTGGGAGTGAAGCTGCTGAGAACCAGGAAAGCCCAGGACAATGTGATTTCTGCAGCTCTGAAGCTGGGAGCTTTCAAGCCCTTTCTTTCCCCTTCCATAATCAGGGAGCAGTGAGCCAGAATGAGATTTGGGAAGAGATAGGAGAAGGCATCCCATGGCAGTGAGAGCACCCACAGGGTGATGAGCCCACCACCCCACAGAGCAAAGGGTCAGTCTCCAACTCTCCACGCTACCAGAGAGGCAGGTAGAGGGGAAAGGAAACCCTTAACCACAACCCCAGATTACTCTGCAAGAAGCACCCTTTGCTGCCCCGCTGGCTCCCCAGGGACCCCAGCAGTACCCACCACCCCTGCGAGCTACTCCCTGGGAGCTGTGTCCCCTCCGTGTGTCTTCTCTCTCCTTTTACTTCAGCTCTGAGTTGTTTTTCCCTCTGTTCTCCTGCCTTTCTTCGGCGCGAGGCAGTAGCCAGTCTCTCCCAGCCCGTTTGTCTCACCTCTCCCACGTCCCTGCCACCCTCCCTGTGCAGCCAAACCCTTTGGACCCAAACTTTGTGGGGTAACACAGCCACTTCCACGGCCCAGGGGTGCAGAGAGGCACCTGCGCCCATTTGGGGGGCAAGTAGGAGACGGCTGCAGGCCACCGTGTCCGTGTTGATGTTGCCACAGTGGCATTTCCCCACTGAGGTTTAGCGGTGGGCAGGGGGTATTGTGGGTCGCATTTGAGGAGAGGGTGGCTGGAGATGGACCATCACCCCCTGCCAAGCTCTGTGGTCCCTATGAATGTTGGCCAGTCCCTGTTCTGCAGCAGGATCTCTTCCAGGGCTGAAGAGGTGGTGGGAAGAGTTAATTTGAGTTAATTGGGATTCTTTCTTATCAGCATCCCTGGTTCACCAGCCTCCCATTGGAAACACATTTCCTATGACCCTTCCCCTGCCCCAGGAGGGTCGTGCCCCTCGGACGTCACCGATGGGCAAAGCGAGTGCAGCAAGTTCCGGCAGGAGCTGGGAGGGGGTGCAGAGAGGAAAAGGACCTTGGATGGGTGAGATTTATGATGGCTCGTTAGCTGGCTACGGAGAGCAACGCTGTGCTCGTGTAGCATGGACAAGGGGGCTGCTGGGTGTCCCCTTCGCCCACCGCTGGGGAAGGAGAGCAGTTCCTCCATTTCTCTGAACAGAAGAGGGGGACAGCAAAGAAGAGGGCAGACGAGGGGCTCAGCCTCCCACGTTTTGCAAGGTCTTCCTCGCATCCAGGCTCCTGCCTCAGACACATGAGGCAAAACGGGAGCAGAGCAGAAGAGCAACGGCAAAGACCGGAGCAAATCCTTCCCTTGGGCCTCACCACAATGGAGGGGCTTCGAACACCCTCCCAGCCTCCTCGAGGTGAACAAGCCAAAATCCTTTATCCTTTTGAGGGTGCTGCAAGCCCAGGCCAGTGCAGAGAGGACCCTCCCACCCCATGCCCATGGTCCCTTTGCGCAGCAGTAGCTTGGCCTCGGATTAGGGCTGCTGTTTACCGAGCACAGGTCTGATTCCCACTTGCATCTTGTTTCTGCAAGAGGCTGCTTTCCTGGAACTGATGCCTTTGCCCAGTCCTTGCTAAGGTGCCCAGAAACCTGATGACTGGGATGCTCATAAATTAAAAGACATGTGAATGATTGCTTTCAGAAAAAAAACCAAACATCTAGTGGATTTTTCCACTCCGTGCTCTCCAGACCTTTCCCGGGGAGAGCTCGCTAAAAGTGGATGCTGTTACCCACCCTGGTCCCCTGTGGGGTTACAAACACAGTCTCTGCTCTGCAGGACTGCATTAAGAGTCTGGAAAGGGCACGGTGTGCAGCATGACACAACCCTGGAGATGCTGCTTCTCCCCTGTGCTAGCAAACCCCCGGCTAATCCATTCCGCTCCCAGCCCCTGTCTCCCAAGGCTCCCACTTGGGAGCCATGATGCCAAGATGCCAGGGACATCAAGGGGGCCAGGACATCCTCATCAGTGTCCAAGGCCAGGTGTGACCATGCCAGGGGAAGACCTGCTCTCGACCTGCCACCTGGACTGCAACCTCCACGCCGGCAGCATCACTGCTAACCCCAACCACCTCAATAAACCAGCCTGACCATCAGCTGGGATAAAAATTAATCTGACAATGCCCTCCAATGGTGGAAATGATTCCTGGTGTGGACAGTGCTGTGCCCCTGGGAACAGCAACACCCTCCTGGACTTCAGCTTGGGCATGGACAGTAGGTGACCAAGGGCAGAGGGGCTGCAGGAAAGATGCTACAGAGAGGGGTCAGCTATTTTAGCCATAGGCACTGCCTGGCTTTCCTTGCTGGTGGCACCAAGGGTGGTCTGGGCTCAGATCTACAGCTGCCCAGGCTGGATTTGCACCCACATTTGCAGTGCCAGAGCCCACCTGCATATGCCTTTCTCGGGGCAGGATCTGGGTCTGGCCCCATGTCCAAGCTGGGAGAGCTCCTGCCCTCACCCGTGTGCCAGACCCGTCAGCCCGAGAGGGAGGTTGTGCTGGCGGAGGGGGCACACCGCGCCGCTGACCCGTGGTTTACGACGCGCTTCGTCAACGTGATGGATCTGTCTGGGCTCCCTGTTGATAAACAGCCCCTGACCCGAGCTGTCTCGGAGCTGGAAGTAACGAGTCATCTTTCTGCACATGTGCTATCGGCGGGCGACGGGGGGGGGC